CGGGGGGGGGGGCGCAACCGCTTTTATTCTTCCGGGGGGACCGTTTGCCCCTTTTTTCCGCCATGTTCCGGGCCCAAACCTTTTTTTTGATTCCCCGGTCCCCGCCTGCCGGCCCCTCCAGGGGGGGCCAGGCTTGGGGGTCGGGGAACAGGCGGGGGTTTGTTTTTGAGATTGGCCCGCCCAAGCCGGGGGGGAAAGGGAGCCCCAGCCCCTAGTTGGGGGGGGGGGGGGGGGGGCATGCGGTGCAGTCGACGGAAACAATTATGGGAGATACGCATACGTCAACATGCGAATAAATCCGTGAGAAACACTTAAAGACAAAAAGGAAAAATGCCGCAATACTACATGGGAAGCAAAGCGTGTCTCCATGCCCCTCTAGACTTGTGCGAATAGCAGACACCCAAACTGTCAACCAGGGCGTCTGGACCCGCCAGAGAAAGAAGTAGACACGCCGGTACAAGATGGGGCGGACGAGAACGACGATATGCGAAGGATATTCATCATGTGGCAGGACTCCTGAGGGTGGGGGAACGCGAACTGTATACACGCGACAAAGAGAAAACGCCCTCGGATGATGAAAGTAACAAGACTAGGTCACAGGAGATAAAAATTGCGGCCACAGAACACCAACAGCAACAGCAACAACACCATGCACGGGGGAAAGATGAGCAAGAAGCACTCGAATATCTATTGGCGTCGAGCAGAAACGGTGCTGACGCCCGAAGGTTGCAGGGTCATTGACCAGGGCAAGCAACGAAACATTACGCCTCCCCCGCCCCCACATCGGTGATTGGTCCTGCGGGAACAATGCTCCGTCCTCCCGAGGACGCGTGGTCAATGGTCTAACCGCAAAGGAATGCAAAGCATGAGAGTACGCCCCCCCCCCTCTTCCCCTCGTTCTCAGCCCCCACTATACCCCGTTCACGACCAGGGCAAGTAATGAATGACCTTCCCCTTGAACCCCGTCGTCAGACCTTAAGGATGAGGACGTCGCCCACGCTGCTCTCGTCAACGACCTGCTTCGCCTCGTCCGCCGTGCGGATGGCCCTTCCTCGCATCTCGATCACCACGTCGTGGCGCCTGAGGCCAGCGTCGGCCGCAGGGGTGCCCGGCAAGACCTTCATGATGATGGCACCGCTCACCTGTTTTTTTTTTTTCAAGGTTTGTCAAAACTCCGTGGTGTGGCCAAGAAGATCATGGTTTTGTCGAGGGCTTGCGCGGTGCAGTTGGTTTGGAACATACCACGCTATTCTAGTTCAACTACAATAGAAGGGCTGCCGGGTGTGAAGAAGTAAAAGAATAGGACGGAGTGGAAGAGAATGGTGTCGCACCCACTCTTGAGTACCAAAAAAAAAAAAATCTCAAACGAGACGTTAAACAAC